TGAAGGAGTAGTATCAGGATTTTATCAATGGAAATGAGTCACTCACTATCCTGGAGGCCTTAAACACAGTAACAAGGACCATCTCCCTGTTGATGACAGATGTGAAAATCCATAAATTGGTCGGCATCAGCAAGGAAGCCATTGAGGCAGCACTGAAATGTCTCAAGATAGTCCTGAAAATTTTGGCAAAGTGCTCAAATGTAATGTGGAACATACTAGAGGAGGAATCAAAGCAGCTAGCAGGGAGCATACTAATGATGAAGGCACTACAGTTGCAGACCAAGTACATAGGCACCTGTAGGACAAGAATTATGATATATGAGGCACTCTTGGACATTACCAAGGTTTACGTAGGAGCCTTCTTTGCCTTGTATGGACAGGTTGAGGAAGTCGCTTGTGTATTGAGAAATGTGTGCCATCCAAGTAATCTTAGACAGGAAGAATTTCCAAGAAATCCCTGACACTCTGGTGTGCAGGGGCAAAAGAATTTTTGTTGTAGTGGAGGGCTGTTGGTTGTGTGGCGTCACCAGTCACTTGGCAAAAACGTATCCTAGCCAAAATTCAATACCTCAGCCAGTTACATCCAAGGAGGTGGTGGTGGAAGATAAGGTTCCAGATGGTCCCAGTGAATTGGGTGGAGATGGTGAAAAAGGGGTTGAAGACTGCCACCCATCCTACTTCTTCCCAGAGGGATATCCCACAGGAATAGTAGAAGGAGCAACCGCAAAAGCAGCCGGAGGATAAAACTCAGCACCAACAAAAACGGCAGCATCAGCAGCAAGACCAGGAAAAGTAGCTGCAGCAATGAGGAGCAGTGGAGATGCCACAGTTGGACCTCTACATGGAGGTAGAAACCAATGCACAAGATGCAAAAGGTAAGGCAAGGAGCCTCCCCACTTCCTCATCTAGGACTCTCTCCCTCAACCAATCCCCCAAAAAGAAATCATTACCCAATGGAGAGAAGATTTGTGTCATAGACAAGCAGACCTTCGTGAGAGACCTGTCTGCACAAAGAAAGGTCCTTTTGAGACCCCAATTTAAGTGTAGATGGGAAGTCAACAGAGGACTTTAGGACCTTTCCTCAAAACCCAGGAGTTATTACACTAATCCGTAACATGGGAGGCAATTTAAAAGTATCTTTTCTGAACATTAGGATGCTCATTGTTCAGCTCCACCCCCCTCTCTATATAGAGCACTTAAGTTAACATTCCCAACAGATGTCAGCGGTATTGTCGTAGATGGACGGATTGCATCAGAGATGCGTATGGGGAGCCTAGGACAATCCGTTGGGGGTCCGTCCCCCACAGATTTCTGGCCAGTCTGCGTTTAAGAGATTCATGCTTAAATGATGCCCATCAAGCTAGCCAGCTTGAATGTGAGGGGCCTGAAAGATCAGAGTAAGGCTGCAGACCTGCTTTGTAATCTCATTCTTTGTCATAGATATGGCGGCATCCAGGAGACACACAATTGTTTGCAATGTTGATGCTAGTGTGCTGTCTTGCAACTTTGTTGTCTATTCAGCTTATGGGGACCAGCTGGGCAGAGGTGTTTCTTTGTTATCGTGGGTGCAAGTGTGGACGTTGTCCAGTTTGTGCGGTGGGAGGCGAGGGGGCTGTAATCACAGTAGGCGAAGTTCACTTAGCATCGAAGAGGGTTGGCAGTGGCAAGTCTCCGAAACTTGATGGTCTACACTATGAACTGTACTTGAGGCTGTTGCACATCTTTGTTCCAATTTTGACGGTTATGTAAACAACTGGCTCCAGCAGGGGTCAATCTCAGATTGGATCTCCAGGTGTGTGATCACGCCATTGAAAAAGGGCAAGGGTGTTGGGCATGATTTTGATGATCATAGGCTCATAGCTCTGCTAAACACAGAGTTAAAGATTTGGGTCAAGTCATGACAGAGCATTTGCAGTCAATTTCACAAGCTTGTTGGGACCTGAGCAGACTTGTGCTGTGAAGGGACAAACAATTCAGAGCGACCTGCATCTGATCCGCACAATCATAGAGTGTGTAGAAGACAATGATGAAGCTGCACTGATCAATTTAGGCATTTGACAGGGTCAACCATTAGTACCTGGCTGCTGCTGCCACTGGATTTGAACCTGACTTCTGCAAGTAGATTAGCCTCCTGTATCACGCCCCCAGTGCTATGGTACAGGTGAACAGAGAATGGTTGAGCGCTTTTGCACTGTCACGGTTGGTTTGTCAGGGTTGTCTGCTGTTGCTCTTACTTTACACTTTGGTGTTGGAGGCCCTCCTTTGCCGAGTAAGGGTTTCTGTGTATGCCGATGACGTATCTTTGTGTTGTGCCATAGCAATATTGAGATAGTACAAAAGGCACTTCAGTGGTACAAAATGGTGACAGGGTGCCAAAATTAACTGACAAATATTTTAAAACTTAGCGTTTTTTTATAAAGTGTGAAAATTTGTCCCAATTCTTACCAAAAATAATTCAATAAAACTCTAAAAATGAATTTTTCTGACAGTGACACATTTTCTTTCAGATTGGATAGAAAAAAAATCTACATCTAACATTTATTATTTTAAAAATTACTTGTAATTTTTCAGTGTGATTTTGAAATTTATCCCATTGCTGTTCGTAAGAATTTTTTTTATTAAATAAAAAAAAATAAAGGTATGTTTGAATTGAAAAATATAAAGTTTACTTTGAACATGACATTTAATTTTTTTTTTAAATTGGCTCACAGACACTCGAAAATGACATTTAAACTTTACATTTTTTTTTAAATAAATATTAAGTTTCTATTTCTGTCAAATCTGAATGAAAATAATAAATAACCTTTTAAATGAAGCAAACACCAATTCTCCAAAGAATTATTTGGGGAGTTTTTAACTTTTATTGAATTGTTTTTTGCAAGATGGGGTTCTAATTTCCAGTATGTGCACGTATGGAGTCAAACACCATAGCAGCAGAAATAGACTTGTGTTCACAGGAATTAAAGTCATACTTCACAGAAATGAAAACATACAGAGATAACAGTGAAGTGAAAGCATGTTAAAATGTACATTATCATACAATTTATTTATTTTTGTGCGTACTGGTGTGTGTATATTTTGCATGTAATAAAAGAGAGAAGTCACTCCATATATTATTACAAGCAATATCCCAGAGAGAGAAGCTGGGACACATGTTGACTGTCCCAAGGTTGTTAGCGAAGAAACTGAATTCAACCTCTTTTGGAAGAATGTCCGCATTTTCGGCAGGAACAGTTTTTGTTGCATGCTTTTTATTATTTTTATTTATTTTAATGCAACGTTTTAAATGTTATTATTTTATTTATAATTTTCATTATTATTTCATATTTTATCTTTATTTTGTTAATGTCCCTACACACTCTCACTATTTCATAATTGTTTTTTTTTTACTGAATCTTCACTTCAGGGATTTTTTTTAACTGAAAAAAGAAAAGACAAAAAACACTAAATTTACACGCGATATCGAAAAGGAGGTGTGAAACATACGACTCAAAAATTTTTCCCATAAGTATTTTCTTTTTTAAATAAAATAATCTATTCATTCACTATTATTCAGCAAAAGTAAAAATATTTATTCATAATGAATAAGCCCTGAAATTTTCGTTTGAATCGGATAATTCCCTGAATTTTGGCAAACATTTTAAAATAGAGACGGTGTCTATTTTTTTTTTTTTTTACACTTTCATTGCGTAGCTATTTATTTAGCGTTAAAAAAAATCCACAACAGAAAAACATTTAAAAGTTATTTAAAATGCGTTTTTCAGTACTTAAGATGCTGCTGCACAAGTTGAAGTTTTGCCGATTCATTTTAACACCGCCGCTTGCAAAATATTGCGTAATCTCCATACGTTAATTTTTCAGAGAGAGATTATATATATATATTATATATATATATATATATATATAAAAAACAAAAATTTTTATCTCTGATTTTTTAAAATACTTTTCATGAAATTGAAATATCAACATGTAAATTTGGAAAGTATGAGAATATGTTGATTGAAAGAAAGAAACTGAAGGAAAGCTGCCGGGTCAAGGAAAACTAAAAAGAAGGGACTTTTTCTTTTCCCCCCTCATTTACTGAATTTTTACTTCGAAGATTAACTCAAGTGTTTGAACTTGAGTTAATCTCCAAAGTAAAAATACCCAAAAGAAAATGTTAGCAAATAAATGCTTTATGGAAATATATAGATGAATTTAATTTATAAAATTCAGATGTAGTTAAAAAATTTAATATCAGCCCGGTATGTTCCATATGGTTCGAATGCGGTGTATTTTTTTTCACTGTTCATCTTACTTTTTGTGTTTAGCTTTTTCTTAGCTAGTTCGTAGTCTGCTAAGTCTTGGATTTTAAAATTTATTTTATTATCAGACGGTTCTTGGTTATCATTTATTTTCCACGTGTCGTTGCATTTTTAATGTATTTGAATTATTTAAAAAATTGATTATTCGTTTACTCGTAACTGAAATTCACATTTAAAAAAATCCCTTGGAAACAGTACACTACAGAATCAAGTAAAAACATTTTTACAATAAAAAGCCTGGACAATGCGCTGTTAGGTAAATTTCAATAAAAGTAACTTTGAAAAAGTTCAGTTTTAATTTTATATTTCTCCTTTTTATATACAGTACACGCTATGCGATCACTTAAGTTATCAATGATTGATTCGATTGTGGCTTGTAAAAAAAAGTAATAACTGACGTGGCGTACCTAATGGACATTTCATTTAAGTGATATTTGGATTTGCAATAGGAGTCAACGGGAATTTTACTAAATGAAAATGTTTATCTGCTTACAAGAATCAATCTTCTTAGTCGATTTTAATAAAAATTGTCGTTACTTAGTATTTTTTCACTTTGACGTCAGCAGTTAAACAAACTTTGAAAAACTGAAAGCAAAATCAAAACGCCTTATTCAACATCTACTAAATGTAGGTAACTTAAAAAAAGTAATAAATATGAAACATAAAAACAATTCTCACTGTACACATTCTATTTACCTGGCATTCTCTTCAGTCACATCAACACCAAGTTTAGACAGTTCAACACAAATCCAATGTTCCATAGTTGACGCCATGTTGAGAGAACGTATTTAGTTCAAGTTTCGATCAACAGATGGCGCCTCAGTCATAACGGTCAGCAAATGATTTACCTGACCTCCCCACAAAGGTAGGATGTGACACAAGAAGATCATTTTTTTATATGTGCTGCCCATACGCATGCATATGCACTCAAAAAAAAAAATGATCAATTCCTCGACCACTGTCACGCTGGCGTCGATATTGCACTGACCACATCTCTCTCAGTGCAATGAGCAAGGTGCTGCCACAGGGTTGGAATCCTTTTGGATCTGCAGTCTTCCATGAGGAGACAACAGATTTGATTCATTATGACTGAGTGAGTTCAATTCTCACTGGGTGTTTAAATAGTCGGCATGGAAAAATTTTGGTGCAATATGAAACATCTAAATCAAAACAGTACAGCATTGATTGATATATGAGATTTGACTTGATTGTGTGTGTGTGGCGGGGGGCTGAGAATTGGTGCTTATGTGGAAGTCACCAAAGTGGGGGTTTACTTGTTTACAACTGGTTATCTCCGGAATCCAAACACACCAATTTATGGCCTTCAAAAATGCATGTAATAAAGATTTTATACAAAGATATAATATATTGCATGTACAAATAAAAAATTTTATTTCTCAAAATAAAATATACAATAATATTCAAAGAGTTCATTAAGTTCCTATTAGAAAGTTCTCATGTTGAGTCTTTCAGTCCTTAGCATAGAGAGAGGAGAGTCTTTGTCAATGTGTCTGTAGGTATGTAAGTATTTCTTGAATTCTTTTGACTTTCTCAGTGGAACTTTTACATGTCCAAAACTTGAGGGTAAAGGACAGTGGATGAAATTCTTTTCAGCGACTTGTCCAGTCCAGTCTGTTTGCCTGCTTGTCACTGTTTTTTCTTTTTTCTTTTTAAAGACAATGGAATTCGTTCCCGAATTGTTCTTGATTTTGATTGGTTCCAGAAATAACTCATTTGACAATCCCTTTTTTTTTTACCTACATTTAGGAATGATAACCCTTTAGCCTCTTTTATTTATTTATTTATTTTTTCCTTATTTTTTTGTTTTTATTTCTTTATGGTAAACCAAAAGATTTTCCAACTTTTAGCTTTCTATTTTTTTTTTTTTTTTTGAAATAGTGATCTTTTTCTTTTTCTTTCAATACAAGTGTAAGGAAATTCAGTTGTTTAGGTATTTTTTAAAAATCTGAATGCCCAAATTTCAAACAATAACAAAATAAAGAAAACATGGGTATACCTGCTAAATAAATCATTTATATTGTTGCAGGAGTATGCTGATCAAGAGTTTTAGGATGGAAAATACATATCTCCTGGTATTTATCCCACTACAAAAATGGTGAACTCTATATGTGAGTCCAGGTAATAAATGTACAAAGTAACAACAAAACTGTCTCAGTCACTGTGTGTTTATCCAAAAATAAATACGCTTAAATTCACCTTCATCCCTGATATGCACCAACGGCTTAGTGGTAGAATCTCCGACTGATGCCAAATCAGCCAGGTTTTGATCCTAGCTAGAGACAACTGGACGTATAGCCACACTGGTGAGCTGTGATACTGTGAAACAGTCTGCCTGTGGATGACAATATATATGCTCCTGAAAAATTTATTTCAGTTGAGCTCTCTGGGGAAGAAGTGTGAGTTTGTAAACAGTGACTATTAATACTAATAATGCAAGACTCTTTCGTAAATCAAATCAAGTCCTCTCAGTCACTGTGTGTTTAACTAAAAATAAATACACTTAAATTCACCTTCATCCCTGCCGTGCGCCAACGGCTTAGGGGTAGAATCTCTGACAGATGCCAATTCAGCCGAGTTTCAATCATAGCTAGAGGCAACCGGACATCTAGCCACACTGATAATCTGTGATACAGCGAAACAGTCTATCTGTGGATGACAATATATATATATATATATATATATATATATATATATATATATTATATGGACGCTACTTAGTGGAAATATCAGTAATGGAGCTAACATAATAAGTTGTATGGATATGAGCTTGTGGTCATCAGACAAACTCAGATCATCAGACAAACAAAAGGTTCTCATATATATACATATTTATATAATACCTCATCTCAGAAATATAGACAGATACAAGTATTTCTATCTATAAAAATAATGTATAAACAGAAAAATATATTAAAATAATTGTCAGACTTTGTTCATTTCATTATATATATATATATATATATATATATATATAATGAAATGGATTAGGTCTGGCAATTATTTTAATATATTTTTTTGTTTATACATTATTTTTATAGATAGAAATATTTGTATCTGTCTATATTTCTGAGAAGAGGTATTATGTATACTATTTACATTGCTTGGACTATCATCCTCATCTTTGTTGCCATATTTATCACAACATTTCAACATAACAACTACCCAGGGTGCATGGCAGCAACCCCAATAAACTGGCATAGGTGGGTACAAGAGGAGGATGACAACAACACTCAGAAAACAGTCTGTTTGCCTTATGTGAAGGGGTTATCGGAGAAAATACAAATACAGAGACAACTAAGTATGTAAAAGAATGCTACAGCTTTCAACACTGAATCTCGGACAATGTATTGATATATGCCAAAGTTGTTAAGCTACAACTACACAGTTGAAAGCTATAAGAGACTTGAACATGACAAACAAAATAAACAAAGCTACAAACAGAAATACCATACTAAACAATGGCAAATAGACTGTCATTTCTGTGTAAAGATACACAAAAAATGGAAAGAAGCATGTCCCACGTGGGGCCAAAAATGCAAATTTTGCAACAGTCAAAACCATTTTGCACTGAAATGCCCAAGGAAGCTCTCTATGGGAAAAAGAAAGTCTAAGCACAAAATTAACTGTATTTCTTCAAATTCTTCCAGTGACACTGAATGTGAATATGTGCTATGTGTAAACTTGGAGAGAGAACAGCCAGATAAGATTATCTATGCCAGAAAAAAGGAAGTTGAAATTCCAAGTGGACTGTGGAGCTACCATCAATGTAATCCTGCAAAAATACGTGCGTAATACCTACCTGCAACTGTCTACCATGAAACTAAAGATGTGGAACAGGACAGAACTAGTGTCCATTGGAAAATGCTGAATTGTGCTGTACAACTCCAAAAATATGAAGAAATATTCAGTGGAATTCACTGTAATCAAGCAGAGTTTGACACCTTTGTTAGGAAAATGCACAAGTGAACCTGATAACTATGAATTACAATAACATCGCTAATGTTAGTTCAGTACCAGAATGCAAGCAGTTCCTAATGGACTATGCAAATGTTTTCAATGGAGAACTAGGATCATTACCTGAGCAGGTGCATTTAAAAGTTGATGAAACTGTTACACCACATACTGCCGCTGCATGCCAGTATCCATGATCCCTCAAGTTAAAAAAGAACTAAAGCGACTAAAGGAACTCAGAGTTATCACTCCTGTTGATGTACCTACAGACTGGAATAGCCAAATGATCACTGCAACAAAGAGCTCAGGTGAGATTCATATTTGTATTGATCCAAGACCCCTGAACAAGGCACTGAAGCATGAACAATACCAGTTACCAACCATAGATGAAGTGCTACCAAGGCTAACAAATGCAAAATACTTCACCAAGTTGGACATGGTATCAGCTTACTGGCATGTAATACTGGACAATGAATCCAGCTACCTCACTTTATTTCAGATAGGTTTCAGGCAATATCAGTGGCTCAGACTCCCCTTTGGAAGATGTGTGAGTTATGGAATATTTCAGAAATATCTTCACCTCACTTTGGACAGCATGAACGGAGTTACATGTGTCGCCGATGACATCATTGTATTTGGTTCAGGAGACGAATTCCTGCAAAAATTGATGCAATCAACTAGTTGCAACCACCCATTTCAGTAGAAGGAGTACAGTGACTCTGTGTAAGCATGAAATACCTGGTAAGGTTTCTGCCATAACTATCCTCTGTCATGGAGCCAATTCAATGAATGATGCGTAAGGATGTCTCATGGATAATGGTCTCATGTACATGACACAGCATTCGCAGAAATGAAGCAACTTGTGACAAAAGCTCTAGTACTCAGTTTCTATGACCTGAATGCACCACTTGTAATTCAGTGTGATGCAAGCTCGGAAGGACTTGGTGCAGCCATACTACAGCAATGAAAGCTTGTCACATATGCAAACAGAGCCCTCAATGAGACAGAGCAGAGATGCGCCCAAATTGAAAAAGAAATGCTTGCAATAATATTCTCATTGGAGAAATTTCACCAATATACCTATGGTAGAAGTACAGAAATTTATACTGGTCACAAACCACTAGAGGCCGTAGTGAAGAAACCGCTGGCCAAAGCGCCAATGTGTCTACAGGGAATGATACTACAAACCCAAAAATACAACATCGACATGGTATATATCCAGGGAAAGCACATGTACATTGCAGACATGCTATTGCGGTCATATTTGACAAATGAAAAGAACTATCAAACAGAGTTTGAGCATGTGAATATGGTCAGCTTCCTCCCAATCTGTGACGAAAGGCTTGTGCAGATCCGCAGAGCAACAGACCAGGATGAAATATGCGATCAGCTGAAGAAAACCATATTACAGGGGTGGCCACCCGATAAAACAAATCATCCAGCTACACCACCCATATTTCCATCTATGTGATGAGATGCCCACTCAAGATGGTCCTATATTTAAAGGTGACCCAATACTCATCCCTCACAGTTTGTGGGGTGAGATTAAAATTAAATGCACACTTCACTCATCACACATAGGCATTGATGGATGTCTACAGTGAGCTAGAGGATGTGTTTTCTGACCAGGTATGTCATTGGATGTATGGGAGTACACATCCACATGTGAAACTTACTGCAAGTTTACAACAAAACAACCTAAGGAGACACTAATGCCACACAACATACCTGATCATCCATGGCAGAAAGTTGGTGTTGACTTATTTGAATTTGACAGCGTCAAGTACCA